ACACACACACACACACACACACACACACACACACACACACACGCTTCACTCCAGTCCGTGTGGCTCTTAATAGGATTCAGTGTGCTGCTGCCTTTTGTCAGTGAGTGTATGTGGACTCGTCCCTGTGGGGTTCGTCAAAGGAGCCTTTTACCGAGAACAATGATCCACGCCGTTTAGCCTTTTAACCCCCAACACTTCTCACACAGCAACAAAAGACACACACGTGTGCACACGCGTCGTGCAGCGTGTACACATCCTGAAACCAAAACTGCAGACTTGCACCCTCAATTTCTTACAGCCTAACACTGCGACGGCCACGTGGGGCTGATAATGCAAATTACCGCTACAACCACAGAACATTTAAAAATCAAGATTTTACTCATTTGAACATTCATAGAAGATTTCAAAGGATTTGAGCTACACCTGCAGCCTGTGCTGCCCGCTGGAAGTTCCTGTTTTCAGTAAACCAGCTAAACATTATGTTCATCCTGCAGGTCTTTTAAAAAATGTAATTAATTTTTTGGGATGTGTATTAAAGTGATGCATAATGTTTTGTAGATGATGGCTACTCGAGTAATATAAAATGCACATTCTTAACATCCTTAATATCCGAGTAAACGAAACGATAAAGTTTGCTTCTAAATGCAACATTTAATAATCATCTTTGGCATTAATGAAGAAGAGAAGTGTTTCCAAGAGTGCAGCAGCTGATCACTGAGGGCTTCAGCACGGTGAGATAGTGCAGGTGTTCTAATTGAAAGGTTGGTATTTTAAATCCTGGCTGCTCTAGTCGGCATGCTGAAGTACCCTTGGGCAATTTACTGAACCCTGAACTGATCCCGATGGATTCGTTGGAGTATGAATGCACGCTGTGTGCCTTCACTTAGATGTGGAACGTGCTTTTGAATGAAACATGATCTATAAAGTGGTCTGAGTGAAAAGTGCTCTAACAGAACCAGCCCACTGGAGACATTGTGTCATATGACACAATCATCACACAACACGTAAAAGTCTTACGAGGATCGTTTTGGAGGTTCAGGGGTCAGTGATGATGCAAACCTGACATCCAGCTGTCTCTGCCATCGCTTTCGTTTTGAATTCTGTTATTTTTGCTAAACAGACACTGCAGAGACTCTCCGTCAAAAATGGCTTAATTCATGTCAGTAATGTCAATTTGGCCTTTTTTGGCTGCTTTACTTTACTGGGTTACATCAAGTTGTATTACCATGGTAACCCAAGCAAACAACCAAGTAATGATCAACAACATGAAACAAAATGTTACGTGTGTCCGTGTAAAACAATATATTAAAATATTTCTTGATTTCATTTCTCAGTTTATACTTGAAAACTGTCACGACTGCTCTGCATGTTTACACTGGTGTGTTCACAGAG